GATGGGACGAAGAGGGCGCCGCTGCCGAAGCTCCACACCCTTAACCCCAAACCCTAAACTATAGCCCCTAAGTTGTTAAAGCCGTGGCTAAGAAAGCCCAGAACCAAAACACTCTGAACTATTAACCCTACCCCCGCCCCGAATTCCCAATGCCCCCAAATCCGAAAGCCGAAGGTCTGAGAAACCTGGGCGCGAAGCCTGGTCGAGAGACGGCGGTAGATAGCACTTGCGACAGGGTAATCCCAGATCCGGCAACCCTCGAACGCTTCAGACACCAAGCTCAATGGCAATCCGAAGCCCCGAAACCTTAAACCCGCAGCCTGCATTATTCTGTGACCTGCCGAAGCGGAATCCACAGAAGCCTCATGGCCTCGTCTCGACATGGTGAACAGGGTCTACTACAGACAGACTGTCAGACATCATCGAGAGTCAAGTTCAGACCGGGGACACCAATCGTCGCAGGGGCGAGCTTCTTCAGGAAGCCGGGCATGCCGGCTGTGAGGCCACGGGTCGATGCCATGGCCTCGAACAAAGACAAGGTGGAAACCCTGAGCCAGATGACTGCCAGCGTATTGAAGTGAGTCCTTGCCGAGGCAATCAAGAACAAACTGCCCACGGATGTGCATGGCCTGAAGGGATCCGCTCACATTGTCGCTTTTTTGCACGTTGCTCCACCTCATCATGCTCTGTTGAAGGCTCGGGAACCCGATGCGCAACGTTGCGACCTACATGTCAATGTTCGAAGAAGATTACTTACTGGCCTCGGGGCACGCATTCACAACACGTGGTCATGCCAACACACATATTCACCACAACCCCTTGCCCAGTCTGGCTTTTCAGCGACACGCTCCAGACAAAGGATGGCCGGATCTCTGAAGGAGCTGACGTGGAAATGCCAAGCGCCTGTTATTTATTCTTGCTTTGGGACGCTTCCTTTTGGAGATGCTCGTGGAGACAAAATCGCATCATCCTAGCACCGGGCGCCGATGCCAAAGCTTTATCTGATGGCCCTCTCTGAAACGCACACTTCCTCAAGATGCTGGCGGCCCGGGCGGCCCGGGGCTTGGCAGGCCAGCGGCGAGCGATGCCACAGCCTGGCAACAAGGGTAAGTAAGGCAAAACATTCATTGGGAAACAACCACGATGCATGAGGGCAGGCAGCGCTCGACGCCTTTGTTTTCTCTCAAGGTTCGGATGCTCTGCTGAAGTCGAAGAGAGGCGATGTCGGCAGCTAGTGTACATGGGATGAAAAGGAGCAGCATGGATATGGTTGCCGTGATGCTTGAACTAATGATGTAGTTGACTGTAGCACAAAAACACGCAAACACACTCGTACTTACTGTGTTTGCTGACTCAATTATAATACTACTACACAAAATGGGTGAAAACCGGCTTCGGAGGACGAGTGACAGGGGTTCAGTGGATGGCAAGGCTTAAGGCCCTAAGGTTTAAAGAGTCGAGTAGACTCTGCCAAAGCCTCCTTCAACGGAGGCACAATGAGCATGAGATGCCTGCAAATGGAGGTTTTTCAAATCTGAACTCAATGCTAAACCACTACTAAGCTCTAAAACCCCGAGGCCTTAAGATGAAGGGATTGGGAGTTTGAACCCGAGACCCTAAATTCGAGACCGCGAAGAGAAGGGATCATTAGTTGAGAAAGGTTGGGAAGGAGGCCCGCCCCCCCCCACCACCCCACCTCCACCCCCTAAAGACCCCAAATTTTGGGGGTCAACTTTAGAAGAGCTACCTGACCCACAAAAACTGCCCCTTTCCCCCGTGTCCTTGCTGCCGGATGCGCGAAAGGGATCGGGATGGATGCCATTGGCAGCCTCGGCATGTCGTGCGACATTTCGGACCTAAGCCAGGCTAGGGTAAGTTTAGGGTCCGGGTAAGTTTAGGGTTTAAAGTAATGTAGGGCTGAATTTAAGGTCTGGGGGGTGAGCTGTTCCAGGCTAAGGTGGAAGGGCTGGTGGAAGTCAAGGGTGTGGGTTTAGGGTTTAGGGTTGAGGGATGAGGGCTGAGGGCTTAGGGTGTAGGGCTTTCGGGATTAGGGTTTAGGGTTATAGGGTGCAGGGTTAGGGCTGAGGACCTTAAGGTTTAGGGTTCAGGGTTTAGGTCAAAACACCCCACCCCACCCCAACCCCACCCCAAACCAAGCCACCCACCCCTCCCTTAGAGGACTGCGGCTTGACAACCTTTTACAACCAACCCTGCACGCCTCCCACCTCTAACTCACCTCATCTAGGGGCAGCGGTTTGAACAACCACTACCTGCCTCGGCTGCGGTTTGAGCAACCACAACCTTGGCTTACGATGCCCCGAAGAATCCTCCCTCCCCAAAGCCCTGCACACTAAACCACTCAACCTCCCTAAACCCCTAAACCTCCCCCCCCTTCCCCCCCTCCCAAAGTCCAATGCTGGGCCGCCCGGCGGGATGCATCGCCAACCAGAGCAGGTGGCGGCACTTTAGGGCTTAGGGTTTAGGCTGTAGGGTTTAGGCTTTCGGGTTTAGGTTTTAGGTTGTAAGGTTTGGGGTTTAGGGGGGGTTTAGGGTTTAGGTTTTAGGGTTTTTAAGGCTTCAGGATGTTGAGTGTTGGTTGGGGCGATGGGTTTGGATGATTTTGGTGCTTGGGCCAGGATGACTAATCTCCAGCCCTGAAAGCCTTATCCAACCCTGACAACCGATTTTGAAAGAGTTTAAAAGATGGCAAAAGAAGGAGCAAGAAAAGCGCTAGGGTGGGATCCTGTTCCGCAAAGCTTATGTTCTTAATCTTCTTCCTCAAAACCTATTGTTAAAGCAAAAACCATATGCGGGTGGTCCTTAATCCCTGAAGAGGAGAACCAATCCTGAAAAGTGACAGTTACCTGACGGATTCCCTTAATCGCTAGACGCGAAAACGTAGCAAGATGTAACGATTCAACCTGAATTTTAATGCGGCTTGGAAACAAAAGATGAGACCGATTCAAATGACCGATTCAAATCGATTCAAAACGTGTTTAACTTGAATACGCTTTTGGATTAAAGATTCAAGATTCAAGGTGCCCAGGAGAACTTGCCCTGGCATCTTGAATCTTGAAACTTGAATCCAAAGCGTATTCAAGTTGAATAGGTTTTGAATCGATTTGAATCGGTTTCATCTTGTTCCATCTTGTTCGGGAGTGGAAGTTGCGTGCTTATATATACTACATACTGTCAATTTCGGGCTCGTGTGCCTGTATATACGAAATAGAGTATGAGTTCCAGGCGCTCGCCCGATCCCGACAACCCACGTTCTGCGGAAGCTGAGATTCTGGAAAAAAGGCGTGGGTACATGGGGTGGGTATCATACATATATATATATATATAGATATATACACAATAAAAGAATAGTGGTTCTAACAATGATAATGATGATGGTACTCACCATAATAAGAATAATAATAGTAAGACGAATAAGAAAATAACAACAAACGCAACTAAATCAATAGTAAACGAAGCACTGGTAGATCTAAGTCACTCTGATAGGTGGTGACACAAGCCTGTCCCACTGTCAACGTACAACCGGATGTCGTCGTGTCGCTGGTGCTCTCCTCGGTTGGTTCCCAAAATGAGCCGAAACAAGGGAAGATGCGTAAGGCTTAGGGCTAAGGGCTTAGGTCTTAGGGCGTAGGGATAAACGCGATGCTCTTGAACCCAACAATGACAAATGCAAAGAGAAGCTCCCGAACCCAGACCCCTGGGAGGATCCAAGAAGGAAAACCCCAAAATGGTGCCCAATACTTCTGTTTGCATCATTCTTAGGAACCCTTAAGTTAATGGGATTTACTTTTTGGATACTCCCAGAGGTCTGGGAACCGTAAACCCTAAACCCTAAACCCTGAACCCTGGACCTTAAACCCTAAACCCCAAACCCTAAACCCTACCTCAAAGCCAGTCTCCGAACTCGAGCCGCAGCCATGGAGAACCAGGGCTGCACCGAAGACTGGCAACACCTTCCTCCACATGGCCCCCCTTCAGTGCCTCTGAACAGGATCCACTTCCCTTTCTTCAGGGGAACTTGCAAAGTTTACCAGTTTAGCCCCAAAATGCCGTTCCTGAATTCCTAGAACCTCCAAACTTTTCTCGATCATTCGGGTCTACTTCTTGTGGGTGACGACTCTGGAAGCCCTGCTGAGCCACTGGTGTCCTTCTATGCCTTAAAGGGTTGAGGTTAACGGGTTTCGGGTTCTATTCGGGGTGGGCTTATAAGCCGCCGGTATGGAGGCATCCAGAATCGCAGCCCGCCCCCAAAGAAACGGCCAACTCCAGAAAGTTCAGCGAACAGACCCACAAACATCCCGAAGATAAGGCTGCGCCAGCCCTAGAATTTCTGAAGCGCCGGTGTCTCACACATCCGCTTAGTCTCCAATCAACGCTGCCTGGGTCTACGACGATCTTCCACACATGTCGTCTAGCTACCAGGCAACGACGGCATGGCAGCAATGAGCTCAGTTCCAGTACTATGGAGGCCGGTTTTCATGCGACACCAAGCAGAGACGCATCCATAAAGAATCATCCCGGAACTTCCCAAGCGGAAGCTCCAGGGAGACTCTGCAAACATCTGGTGATGAGGGCCGAGATGGGTGCTTCCGAAGTGGTACCCCCTTGATAGCCCAAATCTAGCATAGTCCCCCTTTCTGAGGACCCCTTGAAAAAGGGGAAACCACCAGATGATCCCCAGATGTGCTTTTAAAGTTCAAACCACCACCTTTGTCGCTGACGACTCGAGACTGCGACTACGTGGGCTCAGCTTCGTCACTCCCCGGACAATGGTCTTCTTGTCGACACCGCCTCACTTGGCGGTTCATGGTCTGGTCAGTGAAAACACGAGGGGTAATGCATAGGACAGCGGCCAAAAACCCATGTGGCTGCAGCCTTGATTGACGCTTGGAGTCCTTACAACTGCCCATAAACAGCGGCTCTCCTGCTTACTATTGGTTCGTAGGGAATGAGGGAATGAGGTACGAGGACCCTACATCCCCCTATATATACCCTCTAAGGAATTGTATAGAGCACCTCATTCCCTCATTCCCTACTAACCAACAGTAAGAATGGGGCCCAACAGAGTCCACAGTTCTGGGAGCCAAGATGCCGTGGGAGTACCGAGTGACATACATGGCATCGTGGCGGATGACCACATCCATAAAGCCTATAGGATGCTCAGCAACCTATAGGATTAAAAAGGGTAGCCCCCTTTTTTTGCTTCAAGGGGTTCTTTTTAAGGGAACCCAAAGCCCCCCCAAAAAAGGGAATAAGGGTATGGCTGGGCATCTTAGAAGCCGTATCCATCGTCCTCCCCGGTGGTGCTGGGCAGGATCTCAGAGGTGATGCCACCTCCGCCCCCTGAGATCACAAAAGGGGTGCCCCCGAAGGTCGTGGAGGTGTTCTGGAGGTGCGTGTGGCCGCTGATGTAGAAGTCAACGCCGTACTTGGCCTGGCAGCAGTCCGGGGTCCAAAGGCCAAAAATTGGCTTTGCGAGCAAACGGTCGCTTCTCTAACATATGGTCCCTGTGCGGGTCCTTGCTAATAAGGCGGCCCCTATTATACTGAAAAAGGGACCATGATTTTGAGAACTCACCAAATCCCTCAAAAACATAAGGGGACTGAAAACAACGTGCGTACCCTGATGCTCCCCTTGAAGCCTTAAACTATGCACTACACACGAAATCCTGGCCCCCAAGCCCTAAACCCTGCAAACCCTATATAAACCCTGAAGACCCTATACCCGAAACCCTGTAAACCCTAAACCCTCCAGCTAGTTGTCCAGTATCCGAGGGAACTAAAGGTCAACCCTTGGGATTGTACAGGGATTCTAGTACCCTAAGAAGGTTAAAGGTTGCCTACTCCACCCTAAACCCTAAGCCCCTAAAGCCTAAATCCTAAACCCTAAACCCTAAACCCTAAAACCTAAACCCTAAACCCTAAACCCTAAACCCTAAACCCAAGGACAAGAGGCCAGATAGCTCTCCCAGACTTCGGATCGACACGGCTCAAAGTTGGGCGGGTAGTGGGTGACAATGATCCTGGGTTGAGGAGTTTGAGGGGGGGGGGGGGGGGGTTAGGGTTAGGGGTTCAGGGTTTAGGGTTTAGGGTTTAGGGTGTAGGGTTTAGGGTTTAGGGCGAAGCCCTGTCAGAATTTCATAGGGTTTAAGGTTTCGGGACTAAGACCCCGAATTGCATTTCGGGTTTGGGGCTCAATCCTTGTCCCAGAACCCTATGAGCCCTACTCCCGAAACCTGCTGAAGTGAAGTAGGGTATATATTTCGTGTATCCCCAAAAGGACACCCAAGATATACACTCACCAATATTAGAAAGGAACCTTACATACACTCACCAAAAACAGTAATATAAACCCTAAACCCTAAACCCTAAACCCTAAACCCTAAACCCTACACCCGAAACCTGCTGAAGTAAGGCCCTGCTTCTGCCAGTCTGCTGTGGATATGTCGAGTTGCTGCGCCAGCCAATCTTTCTGCTCCTGGCGCTGCGCAGAAACATGGGGGGGGGGGGGGGGGGGGGGGGGGGGGGATGTGAAAAGAATGGCGAGGTTTAGGGTTTAGGGTTCGGAGTTCAGGGTTTAGGGTTTGGGGTTTTAGGGTTTAGGGCCTCAGACTCAACGCAAAACCCCATCTTAGGACACAAAGACCTACTCTGTTCTCTGTTTCAGATTGATAAATAGGCTTTTTTGCCCAATTACTGGGGGGCCCCCATTCTGCCTATATCGACAGAAGAAGGCAGCTGCAAAACACATGTCAAGCTTCCTTCCACAAGTCATCGAAGAACTTCCAGCACGTGTCAGGGCCGGTAATCGATGTGCCATTGCACCCCAAAGGGAGTGGAGGCTGATTGTGGGATCGGGAACAGATGTTGTGCTCTGCATCCACGTCTGGGTTGGCATAAGTATCCACCTTGTTCGTGTCCACGAAGAAGAACTCTGCCTTTAGCGGGCCTAGCTTTGATGGAGTTTCAACGTTCAGCCTTCCGAGCATATATGTCCTCAGAGCCCCCTACGAATCAGGAAGGGTTTGCCGCATCGTCAAACACACGTCCTAAAACCTGAAGACACTACAACCCCTCTAAACCCTAGACCCTTTAAACCCCTATAAACAGTATAAGAACCCTGTAAGAACCCTAGAAGAACCCTACATGAACCCTAGATTAAGTTTTATCGACTCCCCAAAGACCCTGAGCCCTCCAAACCCAATATGAACCCTATCAGAAAGGGTTTCGGGTTTCGGGTTTAGGGTTTAGGGTTAGGACTCAAAAAAAGCCCCGAAATCCGAGGCGCCGAGAAGTTGCGGAACTGCGCCCTCCGCTTCCAGAACAGCGCCGGGGTGAGCCAGCGACTCTGGGGAGTGCTCCAGGTGTAGAAGATGTTCCTGGGTCTGGGAGGTTTAGGGTTGGGGAGGTTTGGGGTTTGGGAGGCTTAGGGTTTAGGAGGTTTAGGGGGTTTACGGGGTTTAGGGGGTTGGGGTTTAGGAGGTTTAGGGTGTAGGAGGTTTGGGGTTTCGGGGGTGTAGGGTTTAGGAGTTTTAGGGTCTAGGGTGTAGGAGGTTCAGGGTCTAGGGTTGAGGGTTTAGGGGGTTTAGGGGGTTTTAGGGCGTAGGGGGTGTAGGGTTTAGGGGGACTGGGGTTTAGGGGGTTCAGGGGTTCGGGTTGGGTTTAGGGTACGGGGGGCAACCGAAGGGGAAAGACAGAACCAAAAACCCCGAACAGCAGCCCTACAATGTCTCCCTGGACCAACCAAACCAACCCAAACCAAGGGCACTTTCTTTTTTGAACACCAGACCGCTTTGGTCATGGCTTGAGCCAAAATATCATGGGGCATTGCCCTTCCAACCTGACTACTCCAAACTCTTTGCACCATCTCCGCATAGGGTTTAGGGTTTAGTGGCTCTAGGGTTTAGGGGTTTACAGTTTAGGGTTCAGGGCTTAAGGCGGCAGGGTGATAAAGGAGCCTGCTTCATCGGGATGGGTAATTGAAATACGTTAACTGTATGGCACTGTATGGATAGAAGGGCTAGACTGTTGGAAATGAGCTTGAGGCTCCTGTATGTATAGGAAAAATGATAGTTCCTTCTTGGTGAATTCGGGAACCTCTTTGGGTCCCAAGTATGTATATTAGGACCTTCGGGCCAGATACTCTAAACTGAAGCGTCATGTTCGCAACTATGAATTCTTTGAGGAACCTGGCCTAAAATGCCGGACCCATTGCTGGACCAATCCAAACCCTAAACCCTAAACCCTAGACCCTTTTCATGGATTGTCTCCTAGCTACAGAGGCCTTATTCGCCCCAAGGTTCTGATCCCAGTGAACGTTGTAATGATAACCTCCATAGTCGTGGTTGCCAAGAACTCCCCACCACTCCACGCCATCAAGACCAGGGCCCTCTACCAGGGTCGGTCTTGCATGAGGCTTTGGGGTTTGGGGTTTGGGGTTTGGTGTTTGGGGTTTGGGGTTGGAATCGGACCGAAGTCTGTTACGTCGAAGGTGATACAGGAGTGGTTTGGGGTTTGGGGTTTGGGGTTTGGGGTTTAGGGTTTAGGGTTTTCGGTTTAAGGGTTCTAGGGTTTCATTGGGCTTCGGGATGTTGGTGGCAGGGTTCAGACTTGTCTCCTACTGTATTCCTGGGACCCCTTTTTACTGGATCCCTACAGGTTACTTGGATACAGAAATCGGAGCTTTCTCAACCACTGAGCTGAAACAAGGCCCAAAGTTCCTCTTGGTTTTGTTGCGGTTCTCATCCAAGAAGGCTTACATTCGTAGGCATCTACTCTGGGGGTCGAGGGTTCCTGTGTCGGTGTAGGGTGTTTAGGCTCTACAAAAGCTGGTCGCACGCAGAAGCTGCATCGAGCTCTATGAACTCCCTCGCTGCTACCCTGCACAAACCCTGGCACCGGAGATACTAAACCGAAACCCTAAACCCCAAACCCTAAACCCTAAACCCCGAGATACGGTCAGCCTTGTAGACGTTCTCAAATATGTTGGTGAAGATGATCTGGCCGGCCTAATCGGTTCTACAACCCCTGAAGAATCATCGTCGCAGACTGCAAGCCCCCCTATGTTCGCCACCCTAAGCAATGTAATGGGATTAAACCCTAAACCCTAAACCCTAAACCCTAGACGCTGTATAAGGAGGAACATCCCAAGCAATGTAAACCGTATCCCTACGCCCGAAACTCTGGGAACGTAGTCCATGAGTGCAGCGCTGATAAAGCCCACCCCTACACCGCCAACCTTTGAGCAGTACCGCCAGCAGTGTAGGAAGTAGGGTACAGGGTTTACCTAGGTTGACCCCCCCCCCCCCCCCCCCCATTATACAAACGGCGCATATCCACTGCGGAACAAGACATTTCTTCCGTAGACTCTATATATAGGTAGCATTTGGGAATTCCGCAAAATAGGGTTCCCCCCCGCTCCCCCAAAAAACAAAAAACACACAAAAAAGGCCACAAAACAGTCCCAATTTAGGTTTAGGGTTTAGGGTCCAGGGTTTAGGGTCTAGGGTTTCGGGTTTAAAGTTTAGGGTTCAGGGTTTAGGGTTTAGGGTTTCGGGTTTAGGTTTGCTAATGGGTTTCGAGTGCCAAGGCACGGAATCTGTCTTGTCAGTCTCGGCATTGCAGGTTCCCGGACTGCTAATTCCACCGGGATAGAAGTTGTCACCTGCGCAGCTGCCCCAAGGGTTTAGGGTTTTAGGGTTTAGGGTTTAAAGGTCAAACAGGGAGCTCCCATTTTGGGCTGGAACATCAATCAGCACAAGCCAGCAAAAAACACACACAAAAAAAAAGGCACTGCAGCTAGAAATCGGCTTTTGTAATGCGATTCCTGAGCAGCAAGCGTAGCGAGCACAACCAGTTGAAACGCATAAACTAGAAGCCTGAGAAAACTGAACGGGTATCGAGGCAGGCGATGTCTTCTCGAGTTGTTGAGAGGACTCTCAGCACAGCCCCAGACCTTGACTGAGAGTCATGGATGGCGAGCTGGAGCCTCTCCTGATCCCAGCAACCCTAAACCCTAAACCCTAAACCCTGACCCCCAAGCCCTAAACCCTAAAAGCTACCCTCTAAATTCAGAACAGTCGCCCACGTTCACCACAAACTTGGGCTTCTTCTCTGCCGCCACGGTGGCCATGATGCCCGCCACGTAGCTCTGAGCGTGGGTGTCCTTGGATACTGCTAGCGGCTTGCCGTCAGACACGGCTGCTACTCATGGGGTAGGGGGGGGGGGGGGGGGGGCGTTGGGGGGGGGGGGGGGGGGTAAGAACGTCATTCATATTGCGCCCATGCCCAGAACACTGGTATTTACAGTGTTTTCGCCTCTTTGTACCTGCCTCCAATTGACCACGACTTTTGCGCAAATGAAAGGTTCTCAGCTCTGCTACATGATAGGATGTCTTGGGCTCCAAGCAGGAAAACACCGTGAATAACAGTGCTTTTTGTTTGCGCGTACACATAAGCTGCTGAGAATGTACTCCTATATGCCCGAAGGCAAACGTGGCGCCCAGCGGCAGCAGAAAGTGTTCCAAATCAAGCAAAAGCCCATAGCGGCAGCGCAACGCCCAAATTTCGTGGCCCAAAATTCACCATCTGCACATGCCTCCCGTACCACAAAAAACCATATTAAAGCAGTGCGCGACGGCAAAGGTAGCGGCCTGTGCGCACTGTTATTATCAGCATTGGCATGACTATTCTTCTTGTGAAGCTCATGTTTTAAGTTTTGCATGTGGAAATGATTAGCCTTGCTGCCTTGCTGAATGCAAAGGGTTGCTCTAGGTGCAAGTTGAAGACGTAAACTCACGACGAACAGAACACATAACGCAGCGAAGAGAATCGATGGGATCGACAATCTGCGGCCGGTTCTTGAAGGTCACTGGCTCTGAGCCGCTCAGGATGCCACCCCAATCGCCTGCAGCTTCGAATTGATGGCTGGGTGCTCGCATGCGCGGGTGTGTGTGTGTGTGTGTGTGTGTGTGTGTGTGTGTGTGTGTGTGTGCGTGTGTGCGTGTGTGCGTGTGTGCGTGTGTGCGTGTGTGCGTGGGGGTGTGTGTGTGTGTGTGTGTGAGTGTGTGTGTGTGTGTGTTTCTGAATTAGGGTCCCCTTTTGTGGCAATTCTTGTAGCATGATGCTTTTCTAGGAGAGGTAGTCCTTGACAACGTGTTCCTGGTTTCAACAAGATATATAAATATGTAGATAGATATCCTTTATAGTTAGTTTAGGATACCAAACGGTTCCCCCGCTGAGAGCCTTTTTTTGACAAACAACTCTCCGAGTTTGGGGGAAGGATCATGAAACTTCATAAGTAGGGTTATAAGTGCCCTAAGTAGGGTTATAAGTAACTATAGTTGCCCTAATTCTAACCCAACTTACTAAGTCCCTAACCCTAAACCCTAAACCATAAACCCTAAACCTTAAACCCTAAACCCAACTTACTAAGTCCCCTGATCCTTTAAGTGGGGGAGTTGGGGCCTCACAAACCTTATAAACTTGGACAGTGCAAGCCTGGCTGGCTTTCGAATTTCCGAAGCTTTTTCAGGCCGCACTGTAGGGCTTAGTGTTTAGGGTTTCGGGTTTAGGATTTGGGGTTTAGGGTTTAGGGTTTAGGATTTAGGGTTTAGGGCTTAGGGTTTAGGGTTTCGGGTTTAGGGTTTAGGGATTGAAACTGGACTCGTTAGTGTATCGGGGACAAGTGGAAGTCGACGAGCTTGCTTGGAGGTTCCTAGGTAGATTCGAAGGATATGAGTAGCCCAACTAGGGTTCGAAGTATAGCTACTATAATTAACGACAGCCCTACTTCTAACTACCCTAAACCCTAAACCCTAAGCCCTTAAACCCTAAACCCTGTTTGCCCTAGGGGCCTCTAGGGTTCAGGGATGACTTACCACAGCACCGAGATGCCGATGATGAAGAAGCGTTGCTCCTCTGTCCCATTGAAGCACGCAACAGGCCACTCGTGGCCATTGTAGTCCTTTGAGACCACCCGAAACCCTAAAACCTAAACCCTAAACGCTAACCCTAAACCCTAAACCCTAAACCCTAAATCCTAAACCTTAACTCCTAAGGGTAGTTGTATGGGCCCATGATATGGTCCCTTGCCTCCTTGAAAGGGCTCGGAAGTATGTGCCCTTGGGCTGTATAGGGTATACAAGGGGTATATAAGGGGACCGTGGAACTACCCTAAGACAAACACTGAACCCTAAAAGGGTTTGTGGTGCATATACCTTAACATGGGTTGCAGTAGTATACAGGGTATGGGACCTTCATCTTGGCAGCCCAGTAACCATCTTTTCATAAGGGCACCCTTTTTGGGGTTGGTTACTTGCGAAGGGAGCCATGAACCATAAAAAATGGAAAGGGCACCGCTGGGCTACCAAGTCATTTTGGGGCTCAAAACCCTAAACCCTAAACCCCAAAAGCCCCAAGACCTAAACCCTAAACCCTCACAATTTTCCCCAAGGGTCCAAGGCGTTCTTGGGCATCAAGGGCTTGAAAACGCTGCTGGAATCCGGGCACTGAATCGCACAGCTGCCATGGCTGAGGTGCAGGGAGCTGTCGTTGAAGGTGCTGTTGGCTTTCCTGCTGGCCCTAAACCCTAAACCCTAAACACGAAACCCTAAACCTTAAACCCTAAAACCTAACCCCTTAACCCCTAAACCCAAAACCCTAATTAAACCCTAAACCCTAAACCCTAGGCCCCGAAACCCTGAACGCCCTAATTAAGCCCCCTTCCCCCAAACCCTTAACTCAGGGCTTGCGCGCAGTCTGGTGTGAGGCTGGGAGGCCGGTGGCAAAAAAACTTAACCCCAACTGTTCCTAAAGCACACAAAAGTAACAAATACATGCAATATAGTAACTAATGGGTAAATACATGTAATTACTAATATACATATAGTATACATCAACATAAACATTAAAAAAACACACGGATAGCTAGAAACAGACAAACATGTAGAATGGCAAACGCTCTCCTGATGACAAAGTAAGACTCCTTTACTTTATAAGGGAACCTAGAACCAAAACAAGTGCAACAAAATACCACTCAAGGACCCAAAACCCTAAACCCTCTACCACTGCTACTCGGTACCAAGACTCAGGTAGGCATAGGGCGCTCTGCAGGCCACGCAGCCCACGGCGCTGTTGCACTTTCCCGCGGCGCCAATGCCTTGGGCAGCTGCGCGGTTAAAAGCTTGGGGTTTAAGATTGGGGCTTAGGGCTTAGGGCTTAGGGTTTAGGATTTAGGGTTCCCTATAAACCCTGAACCCCTAGTTCCTCACGCCCAGCCGCACATGCACTTCGCGCATTGCCCCCGCTTCATGTCCTCACCGCAGGCCGTTTCCATGACAGCAGGCCTGCAGTGTGCTCCCCCAAAAGAGAAACCAAGAGGTTTAGGGTTTAGGGTTTAGGGTCTAGGGTCTAGGGTTTAGGGCTAACCAAAAGCACCACTTGTATAGCGTGAGGGGGAATCTCATGGGCTTGGGTTTGTGGCTTGTGGCTTAGGTCTTTTGGGGCTTAAGGGAGCCTCACCCCTAAGAAAGGAAAAATGAGGGCTAACCCTAAACCTTAAACCCTAAACCTAAACCCTAAACCCTAAACCCTGACTGAACCCTGCACCCTGAACCCTGAACCCTGAACCCTATTTCCTAAACCCTCAACTGGCCCGAAAGGGCATCCTAGCGGCTTCTCGTTGTGGTTGTTGTCTGCACAGCCATGGAGGCTGAAGACCAGGGCCACCAAGCCGCCAAGCAAACATGGAGCCGGAACCTGAAACACAGCCAGATAGGGTTTAGGGTTTAGGGTTTAGGGTTTAGGGTTTAGGGTTTAGGGTTTAGGGTTTAGGGTTTAGGGTTTAGGGTTTAGGGTTTCGGGTTTCGGGTTTCGGGTTTCGGGTTTAGGGGCTACGGTACCCTAGAATCCCTCAGGAGGCCCTTGACAGGGCACGTACCCCAAGTCCTTAAGATGAGATGGGCCCTGCAGAACTCACGGTTTAGGACTTCACCAAACCTCTGGTCTGGTGAGCTGCTCATATTAGCATGACATAGGGTTTAGGGTTTAGGGTTTAGGGTTTGGGGTTTAGGGTTTTGGGGTTTAGGGATTAGGGATTAGGGTTTTCTAGTTGCAATGATAATGAAGGTAACATGACCTGGTGCTGAAAACTTGCGAGCCGGCTATGAAGGAGAAGTGCCTGGCGTGCCCGGAAACCTAAACCCTAAACCCTAAACCCTAAGCACTAAACCCTAAGCCCTAAGCAGGCCTGCATCTTCTTGGAGGCAGCACGGCGACGCGTCGTGACTGCCACTAAAACAGCTGCGAAATTCGCGTGACTGAAGGGGCATCGGGTTCAGGGGTTAGGGTGTAGGGTTTAGAGTGTAGTGTTTAGGTGTAGGGTTTAGGGTTTCAAAAGCCTTGCACAGCATGCTCACCCGATGATAGCCACCCCCCAAAGTAGCTAGCTCGCAGGAAGGGGCGAAGTCTTAGTGAGGGCATGTCCGGTATCTTCAAGGGTTGTCGCCAGGTCTACTTAGGCAGGCTCCGAGGCTTTGCCTTAGCTTCTCGATCAACCCTAAACCCTAAACCCTAAACCCTAAACCCTAAACCCTAAACCCTAAACCCTAATCCGAATCGAATGTGAAGCCGCAACTTGCCCTCGTTCACAACACCGTGTTGCTTTTCTTTGTGCAGTGGGGGTGTGCTTTTGCACTTGAAGGCCTTCCGCCAAGCGGTGCTGACACTCTGGGGTTCTTACGGTTTAGACCGTTGTGACCTCTCGGCGCGTCCACATGCGCCTGCAGCCTCGGGATCGGTGACTGTCTCTATCGCCCACGTCTCGTACACATTCGAAGTGCTCCTCCTGCCTGAGTCCCGTGCGCTTTGTGAGGTCTGCGCCGTTCCTCTGTAAAAGTAATCTTGGAGTGCTCTTAGAGTGGTTTTGGGATGCTTTTGGATTATTCCTGGAATTCTCTTATACGCTTGTGTTGCTCTTGGAGTAGTCTTACACTGGGATCTGCGCCGGCATATAACTGCTAAAACTAAAAATTGGTCTTGGACGGTCTCGGAGTTCAGCCCTGGGCTACCCGACCCTCTTCGCAGTGCTCGGAATGCTCCGCAATGTCATGGGAGGGAGTGTGCGCTCCATCAAGGAAGCGCTCACCCTAAACCCTAAACCCTAAACCCTAAACCCTAAACCCTAAACCCTAAACTCTCACGAGAATACACGACCATGCTGCTTCCAAGATGAACCCAATTCTTCCAAGGGCCTAGCAGATGTGCTACTAGAACCCTTGAGGTTGCAACAAAGCTCCCTGGAACCTGGAAGGATTACAAGGGGTAATGCTGCAAAGAGATCTGTGAGGAACCGACTTCGTATACCCCTAGACTCGGAATCACGCGCCGAGTGTGCATGAGGTGAAATCCATAAGCCCCTCCTACGAACAAGATGTTTAAGGTTTAGGGTTTAGGGTTTAGGGTTGAGGGTTGGGGGGTTTAGGGGGCAGTGTAAGTTTTCAGCAAGGACTCCTATAGCCTTGTGGCTGACTAGGACCTGGAGCCAAACAAAAAAGGACGAGCCGGCAGAAGTGCGGCTCAACTTCTCCACTCCTGCAACCCTAAACGCCTAAAAACCGATCTCTGCAGGAGACAGAAGCATGCTGACGTCACTGAGGCGCATCTTTCTTGACATCTCCCAGCATCGGACACCCAGTGCGCAGATGGCTCTTGGTCTTTAAGACCATGATGCCGCCTCCGACTCTCGCCAAGCTAAGCTTTGTAGCAACCTGGTACATATGGGATTAGGGGTACCTTCGTGGGCCCTTATTGTGAGGGAATTTTGTATTGCTGGGTGTGCCAAGCTACCCAACGAGGACAGTCGGCCAACGCTACGCAGCAATTGTGTGCACAAAACCCGAACCCTGAAACCTACACCCACAAGCCCTAAGCCCTGCCGACA